ACAAAAGATCACATGTCTAACTTCTTTAAGATGATTCTCACAAATCTTGGCTTCAAAGTAGCGTTAATATTATTTCAAATACGTAGTTGAATCGGGTTATTTGCAAAATTATCAGTTATTGATTTTATTTTCTAAAGTGACAATTTAAGATGTATAATAATTAGGTCATCAGTGTTTTTTTCAACAATGGCACCTGTTTTTGAAGGGTCAAAGTCAACTTCAAACATGAGAGCTGTAATGATTTACATGTCTAAAAAGGAAACAAAGCTGTCAAATTCAAATTATGCAAATATTTTTTTATTTTCTTGCTTTCTAGTTTTTTTTTGGATTCAATTAAGCTCTTATTCAGCTAAATGTTAGGAGAAATCAACATTTATTCAGATCATTACTCAATGTCTTAAGGGTCGTTTACTTAAATGCTTACTGATAAGTGTTTAACGGTAGGAGTCAACACTATAATTTATTTTGTTGGGTAAGATTGTAGTATATTAAAACGTATCTTATACAACAATTTACCTGGTAAACGTTTACCCGAGTAAGAGTCGTCATCCTCACTTACCGGATAAAGTTCTCCATCTTTATCATCGCTCTTACCGGGTATATTTTTGGCCCTTGTCATGTTCATCTGGTGAGCAAAATTACCCGGTAAGTACTTACCGGGTAAGCGTTTGGTAAACGGCCCCTTACTGAATATTTGTGAAACAGTTTTGATTTTGAGTTACAATTCAAACTTATATTGTAATATACAATTTTTCATTGGGAGGTTTTTATCTATACTACCTTATAAACCATATTTATTAAAAGTCTTAAAAACAATTTTTAATGCATAAAGTATTATATATTTATACACAAAGTCTTAAAAACAACTCATAATGCACATTATTACTTTTTCTTTTCATGTTCCCAATATACTTTTGACACATTTCACTCATGTCTTCACCTTCTCATATCTCTATGTCTTCTCCCCATCCCCCAAGGTGAGATTAAGACTGACATTCACCATGACTTATTAATAGTTATCTCATTCAACTGCTCTAAAACTCTCGGTCTCGCTCTCGCTCTCGATCTCTTGATTCTTTGCTCTTTGTGTAAATCGAACACATTTGTGGAATCGTTTAAATATGTTGGATATTAAACTGTCATATAATTTTTTTCATTGATAGACTGTAAATGGAACCAGAACTCTTATTTATTCAAATTGTATTAATATGTAAAGAGCAATTGTAACTTATATCGTCATTAAATATTCTCTAATAAAACCAGTGAAACTTCAAAATCATTAAAATTCATGGCTCCCGCCACATTGCGAATACACAACCAGTAAGCAAAAAATGTAGTGTCTTGTAAGAACTTAAGGTCATATGAGTTTTTGTATATGAACCTTGATTCTTATCTTGAATTTGGTGTGAAGTAACATTTTAAATTAAACATTTAATTTAAAAAAAAACCAAACAAATAGTCTAAACTACAAGAATCTTACGTATACAACGTACGTTCAAATGACTCGTGTCCTTACATGCATGTAGGCCACGTCAGTTCAAGAAAGACCCGAGAGTACACCAAAAAAGACCAAACAAAAGCGTTAGATCGTCTGAGCTTCATTAAATAACTCGTACATCGAGATTTTTTATTAAATGATATTCTCGTTATTTAATGAATCACAACAGGTTTTAAATTAAAAACGAACGAAAAGAAAATCTATAAACCAACTTCTGTCGTTTTCACGTATACAGGTTTTTCAGTAACGTATTTAAAAATAAAATATCATAATAATTATTATAATAATAAATAGCAATTTGAAGAAAAAAAACACCCTTACAAAATGATGATGGCATAAATGGTTGACTATAAATAGAATTTAGGTTTGGAAGTTGACCTACTTCTAATTCTGGTTTATTAGACTTCCTTAAAGGCTTGAATTGCACATGTATATTTATTATTTTATGATATAACAAAATTTCCTGTCAAATCACATCAAACATCAATATAAATATACAGAAATTATACCAACAGATCCTTTAAAATAGAGAAAATATAAAAAAATATATAATTTTTTTTAAATTTAGAGAACTCTCCAAAAACAATTACTATGGAAGACAGAATATATTTTATTTTGTTTTCTTGATATAAAAATATTTATGAGAGAAAAATGATATTTTATTAAATGTAAAAGATATTTTATTGCATACCTATTTTACCTTGTAAAGAAATTTTCGATTTAGAGGTCGTTTACCAAACACTTACCCTGGTAATAATTTATCGGCAAAATTCAAAACTATCATTTACTTGTCAGGTAAGATTTTAGTCCATGAAACGATATCGTATACAATAATTTACCCGGTAAGCGTTAACCGTGGTAAGAGTCGTCGTCTTCACTTACCGGGTAAGACTCTAGGTCCTTATATATGCTCTTACTAGGTAAGATTATTGGTTCTTATCATATTCATCTATAAAGTAATATAACTTGATAAGCACTTACCGGGTAAGTGTTTGGTAAACGATCCTTTACATGACATTGGTTAAGTTGTGTAACATCTTCTACTTAATCAAGAATTACAATATAAAGAGATGATCAATGAGAATTATATATATTTAAAAGAATAAGAGAATAATTTTGCACCAATCATTTTAGTAAGGTGGCGTTTGGTTTACAGAATGTTTTTGGATGGAATGAAATCTATTAAATGAATTTGACTTTGAAGGAATTGGAATGCAATGTTGTCAGGTTTGACCACCTGTTTGGTTGACAGACACTAGAATATAATCTGTTAAGGAATTGGAATCTGTCTGTTTGGTTCACAGAATGTAGCTTTAGAATTGGAATAAAATATTAGTAAATGACCAAAATGCCCTTTTTAATTTTTTTTTTAAAACTAAAAATACTTAAATAAAATAATTATTTAATATGTAAAACAATATAAAATACACAACCTAAATATAATCATAAGCCAAACGACATTACTAAATCGACGGTGGTCGACGGTGGTTCAGATCGGTGGTGGTCCATGGTGGTTTAAATGGCGGTTATCGGCAGTGGTTCAGTTTGACAGTGAATCAGACCAGTGATGGCTCAGATCGGCGGTGTCCGATGGTGGTTTAGATTGGTAGTGGTCGGCGGTGGTTTTGATCGATAGTTTAGATCGGTGGTGGTCGGCGGTGGTTCAGATTGGTGGTAGTCGGTGGTGGTGGTCAACGGTGGTTCAGATCGGTGGTTGTCGCCGGTGGTTCAGATCCGTGGTGGTGATCGGCAGTGGTTCAGATTGATGGTAATCGATGGTGGTGGTCAGCGTGGTTCAGATCAATAGTGGTCGGAGGTGGTCGACGATGATCATATTGAGTTTTATGAGATTAGAATATATTAGGTTAAGAACATATTTGGTATAATGAAGATAGAGATTTCATTCTATCAAAATATCATGTAGTTGCTAAGGAATGTTAAATTTCTTTATTTGTGAAATTTGTAGGATTTTGAAAATTCTTTTTGTGAAAAAGAATGAAGCAAACGAGGGAATGTAATTTGGTCAATAAAATTCAATATTTCAATTCCATCAGATTTCTCCAGAATCTGCGAACCAAACGCCTCCTAAATAATACCTTCAATGATTAATTTTAGAAATAAACAAATAAAAGTGTAAAAATAATTCAATTATATAAGTTATTTAAGATATTTACTCAAAATTCTACTTTTACTATATTTATGATTTTAATATGATTTAATTTTTTATTTAAAAATGTATATTTAATGTATTTAAAATAAGTGTATTTAATGCGATTCAAAAAACGTCGATTAATTGTGAATATCACATATGATTTTAAACAAAAAATGAAAAAGATTCTTAAATAAACTGCTTAAAAAATATATTTTAAATAGAAAACTTAATCACATTTATTATAAATGTTGTAAAAAAACAAAAATTAACCATGTTTAAATCACAAAAATTATTAAAAAAATCATAAATAAATACTTTAATTAAATCTATTAAATAATCTTAATTTAAATAAATGAATTTTCATATATAATCTATATACAACAAATGACACATGTTGTCTTGAACAATTTTTAAGAAAATTCTATTTAAGACATTATTTAATAAAATGATTGACCTAGAATTATCGACTCACTTTTCTAAATATGTATCATTCTCATTGATCCATCCTCTTACAATACAACGAGACAACTTAACATTCACATCAATAATAGTTACAAGATCTATTGATGATCAGCAAAAATCATACCAATTAAAAAAATAAATTCTCATATCTTTCTGTGTCTTAAAACATAATTAAATGATTTATTAAACCATATTCTATGCCATATAATATGTGTTAAGTCAATCACTAAAAGGAAAGAAAACCCAATTTGTAGGTGGGAAATAGATGACCCATCTTTACACCATTTGGTTTCAAGATCTACCACTACTTCCTTTCCCTCAAGCAACCTCAAACTTAGCTTCCAATATCGATACCTTATGACTAGGTGTTTACCGGTAAAATTTAACACTATTATTTACTTAGCGGGTAAGATTTTAAATCCACCAAAACGACATCATATGCAATAATTTACCCGGTAAGCGTTTACCCTAGTAAGAGTCGTGTCCCTCACTTACCGGGTAAGACTCTTGGTTCTTGTCTCGCTCTTACCGGGTAAGTTCTTGGTCCTTACCATATTCTTCAGGTAAGGTAATGTAACTTGGTAAGCGCTTACCCAGACAAACATTTGGTAAATGGCTCCTTACTCTCTCAAGGTCAAACAATACATTTTGACCAAAATCTTGACTATACACGGGGTATATAGGAGGTTTTCTTGGCTGTTATCTTCAGGGATCAGTTAAGGTACAAGCAAAATTGGCGTGGGTGACCATGGTTACGAAAATATATATATAACACATTTACGACTTGCAAAATTGGAATGACCAAATCCAAAACAAGGTATAACTTTCAATGTATAAGGTACAAGTCACAATAGCTTTATTGCTCGAGATTTGGCCGTTCTAGCTTCCAAAAAACGACTACCTTTGGACCGCTGTACAATATAAGTTTCTTGTAGTTTTATAAACCGGAGTTCATGTTAAAGCATATTGAAAATTTGAACAAAAACAACAGGAAACACATCACCTGGTCATTCGACTTTTTCTCAGTTTTCCTATTCATATGTGAATATTGCAACGGTTTTTATTCTTTGAGAACTCCGAGTTTTGCCAATGATGTGCGAATGTGAGCGCTGGTGAACGCTTCGGGTGTCTGAATAACGTTAGGGTTGTCTGTCGGCATGACGTCGGAGAGTGGGTAGATTCTGTTGGCATGAAGTTGGTTGTTACTAACTCCTTTCAGTATAACAGACTTATGAACACCACCAAGAAACCCTTCGTAATCGGTATCTCCACTTTCGCCGATGAAAACCACAACCTTTGACAAGTCCATACCCCATCGGAGATATAGGTACCTGAAAAGGCATATTGTGTCGTAAAACTCTAAGCATTCATGAGTCGACTTTCTGAAGAAAGTATAATAAACATCAATTGAATGAGCGGTTAACTATCTGAACTATTGGACGGGGCTTTCTCTTAAAATTATGCTCAGGCTATGTTTGGCAAACTAGCTGACAAACTAGTCATGTTTGGTAAACTAAACTAGATGACAATATAAAATAACCTAAAAGGACATGTTAAATGTTTATTGTTTTTCAAATTTCTAAATTAACATTCAATAATAACAAAATTACGAAAATTTCAGAGACTGTCCACAATCAGTAGCATCAAAACATTGTATTGATGGTAGCAGACAAACACAACTCTATATGGATTGATGTTGCATTCTTGATGTAAGTTGGTTATCCCATAAATCATAAGAGCCCATATGTGTGTTTATATATATATATATATATATATATATATATATATCATAAGAGCCCATATGTGTTTATATATATATATATATATATATATATATATATAGTGAATGGAAAATGTATAACTCACCTGAGGGATTGGGAACGAGACGCCAACACTGGGATGACGTTTATCTTCCTCCCATTCTGGCAATAAATAACGTGACAACGGAGTGCATGAATTCTCATCAACTTCCGGAGTTCCTTTGCCGGAGGAACCTACAACAATGAAAGTAAAAGAAGAAATATGAATTCAATACTTAATCTAACAGACTTCTCTAGCAACATGCATCCTCCAAATAGTTTATAAGATGTTTCCTTTTTTGCTAACCATGGGTGTCCCGGCCGCTTGAGCACACCTCTACTAATTTATGGGGTTCTAAAGATTACAGCCAGAAAAATTCCGGTGACCCTAAAGATAACAGCCAGTAAAATCACCATTTGCCCTAAAGATAACAGTCAGGATAATCCTCGGTGGTCCTAAAGATAACTTCCAGGAAAATCGCCGGTAGTCCTAAAGAGACTCGAACTGGTGACCTATGGGGTGGAGCCCCAAAGCCTAGCATTTATTTGCGATATTTACTGTATTAGTTAGTCAAACAAAATGTTTGACTATTAATTTAACTTGAAAAATATCTTCAATAACAACAAAACATAGAATATTGTGGACAAAAACCAATGCTATCAAGATTTGTAATAAACAAAGAGATAACTTGGGAATAGATGAAGTTACCAGTGCTGGATTGTGAACTTTGAAAGCATAACAATAGTTGGTTGAAACTGCTTCATCTTCTGTAACAACATGCTCTTCGTTTTTATTCTGCGCCTTCTTGTCGATAATAGAAGACGCCCATCGGACTAGAGTCTTCCTCAGCCCTTCACCACCCCATCGGTATTCAATATGTGAATGGTAATACAGGTCGAATACAAAGGGGTTATCTTCGGAATGGGAAGACGTGTAGTAGAGATCAGCCCCACTGTTGCAAATGAAAGCATCGAATTCAGATGGATTTAAGCCTTTTGAGACCAAAAAAGAATGAACTTCTGCCATCTGTAACGATGTCGCCAATATAAATCCTATGGAACCTTCGCTCCTCTCCTTATCTACGGCCTCAAATATCTTCCTAACGTTTTCGAAAAGACCTCCAATATCATCAGCATCAACTGCAACTACAAAAATATGCTTCCTCCTTCTCAATGCCGGAAACTTGGCTTGGTCGGATTTTTCTCCTTTCACAACACCTTTCGAATACGACATAACGGCATTCTCTAATTTACTCTTTCGATCTTCAGAGTCAAACGAGCTAAAAACATTTCCTTTATCACCATCCATGGAGAGCTTCAAATTCAGTGATATATCCTGCATATCTCTTAAAGAATCACTTGGTGATTCGGATTCTGAATTTTCATCATCGTCATCGTTTTTTAGCCACCCTGGTTGCCTTGGTTTGCAACTTGCTATCCGTGAGAGATAAGTTTTGCAATGCTCGGTCCACGAGAATAGGTGAATGTTTCTCAAACCGTTTGACCTGCATTTTGACCAAAGTTGCTTATCTGCCACGAGCTTTAACAAGGCATCAGCAACGGACTTCTCATCATGGGGATCAACAAGTAAACCGTTGTCAAGTACCTGCGACGGTAACAGAGTCAATTGCAGGTCATTTCAATTAACTACGAAAATGACATTTAATGAAACAAATACAACTTACACGGTGTATGTCCACTGGACCTCCATTTTTTGTGGCAACCATCGGTAACCCATGAGCTGCAGCCTGTTCAACAAAATTCAATGAATTATGCTAGTAGTATAACAACTCGATAACATAATTGCTAAATATATCAGAAGATAACCTCAATCAAAGTGAGCCCAAATGGCTCTATGAACGCCGGATTGATGAAAACACCCTGCCAAAAGAAGTAATAAACAAGATTTATATCTCAAAATATATGGTTAGAATGCACAAGTGGTTTCCTATTACTTCTCATGTACTTGTACATATACATATACACAAACATATAACGTATGTACATACGTGCATGTAACCATATAAATTTTATGGATTATCAATATATACCATATCATATCTTTATAACTTTACCTTGGTCTTTGCTGCTAAACTGTAGATGTCAGGAACCTCGTTCTGCTTATGATGTTTCGGATATGCCACTTGACCATAAAGATCATACTTATCGATCATCTTAATAATTGAAAGAAGCATGGAAGCACTGGTGCTTGACATCTCATCAATGTTATCTCGGTTTCCCATTATTAATGTCTGTAAAATTCAAGAAAAAGTTGTAACACCAAAGAAGAAACCGATCAAATCACTAAGAAAAACCCATACATATTAGGAGAACTCCGACATACAAGATTGGCAAGCTCCCGTAATGGACGACACTCCCCAAATGCTTTGACCAAAGTTGTAAGGTTCTTTTTAGGATCTGGCCTAGCAAGTGCAAGTATCATAGGCTTGCGGGGGTTGGTAAAGAACCGCATTATCTGCATAACAAGAAGATGAAGAATCTCATGAGTTTTACACTTCCAGATTGCTCTCAGTCTAAAGTCTAAAACAAGCCAAATCAGAAATGACATAAACCTCTGCCCAAATAGGCGGGTCTGGAGAAGCTTGACGATCTTCTGTTCCTTCTGCTTCACCATCCATATCACCATCATGTGGAATAATATGATTGAACTCCATCCCAGGAGGAATTACCTGCCAATAACTGAAGTGGTTAATTCTACAACCAAAGGGAACACAGCAGAGTAACATATGCACAAATACTGGCGTTATAATAAAGATTGTAAAGTTTAGAACGTTTGATAACAATATCTAAGACAGTAAGACTCCACTGAACGATAATATAGTTGTCAGGTTGCAGCATGATGAACCATAACGAGCATCCTATAAAAATTGTTATTGAACTAAAAGGTCATTTATCTTCTGTATAGAGATAGTTGACGAATGTTAACAAGTCTACCCGACATAGAAATAAGTTATATAATCAGAAGAAAATTATTTTCTCCTATTATAGAAAGAATAAGTTATATATATAAAACCAGCAAAAAACTGCAGATATTTTAACCACAAAGAGGCACATAAGATCTGCAAAAACAGAAGCATGTGCTGGCACTTACAACCATGCGAGGCATGAACCTGCCGTAACAGCTCACGTTACGTCTGATCCTAGCTCGAAGTTTGCGCTCCAACACTGGGTCAAAACCATTGTACAACCGCCACTGTTCCTCTATTTCCTGTCTGGTGCTGGTTATGACTACCTCAGAGGCATCAAGGGTCAACTCCTCAGCCTCTATCCTACGCATTATTTTGTAAGTATCGTTGATTTCTTCTTTAGATAATCTGCCTTGCCTTAAAAGTTGTTCCAACTTATCTCGCCCTAGCGAGTGACCAGTGAAGAGCATGGGTACATTTAGAGCACCAGACAGAAGAGCAGCCGAGTCACCAGCATCTGCATAATGACCATGGATAGCTACTGGCCACACTGGGTGACCGCCACCAACTTGCTCACCCAAGACTTTTGACATTTGTATTATGTGGCCAAGTGCACCATCAACAAATTCTGGGATATGAGGCCATAGGAGTTCTTTGGGAATATATTTATCTTTTGGACCAAATGGAATACGAATTATATATGCACCACTACTCTCGCCTATTTCTTCAGTCAAACCATCGGAATTATGTGGAGAGAGCATCTCTGTTGGTTCACCATAACTCCAGTCTACTTCAGGGGATGCTACTTGCCTAGTAAGTAAATCAACTCGGTAGACACCTGGCATTGACGCTAAAGCCCTTGCAAGTTCCACAACATACTTCACCTATATAACCACAATTTAATAACAAAATTATCGCCAAAGTATTTGAATTACTCCAAATCAGCGACAAGAAACAAAAGGATAGATAGAAATCATCAAATTCTAAAGTCCACCAACATAAACATACCTGACCACCTGTGTCAGAATCACGCCCAAGCTCCATATTTTCGCCACGTATTAGACCATGAAGGCTGTAAGAAATTTAATTTTCAAGAGATTATAAAGATTGTCAACAAACTATACAATGGGAAGTGCAGAATGTGATCACTTGTTTGACATGATTCTTGTTCATGGATTAAGCTTGTGCAAACCTTTTGGACCTTGTCACCAAAAATCATACTTTAACAATAGTTTTTTTAATCGTATTTCATTATACAAGCTGAAATTTGCTTTTGTTTCTAAGAATTTCAAAGCAAGCAAACTTCTAAAGGTTGTTTTAACCAAAAGGTTTTCAGAGTGATTAGCATTAGCCATTGTACTTCACGCTTGGTTTCTAAACAACCAACATTCGTGCAAAATTTCTGAATGAAATAAAAGAACACTCCAAGTTGAATGTAAATAGCAAACACAGCACTGCAATTGCCAAATGGAATGTATTCTGGCAACTTTTTGGCCAACTATAGTGCTTCCTCCATCGTTATCTGCCAACTCGATTTTTTCCTTCTATTGCATCTTAGCAAGTATGTTGATCGTTTAGAAATGCCAATTACGATGTTTTTAAATGCTAATCACTCAAAATCTTACCTCTATACAACATCAGTTACATGTGTATTGCATAGGATCGTCAAGCCATTCAAGTTATAGGTGGTTAGGATATGTAGCGGCTACATACAGGGTTGATAGCAAATTTTATTAAAATCTATCTATGGGCTTGTAATGATGCAGGTAAGACGATCTTTCTTTACATAAAGTCCTATGCGATACATTACCTATTTTTAACACCCTAACACAATACTTAAAACAATCTCTAGGAGAATGATTTTGCAAACACACAAACACATCTTTAATGATCGTTGTGTAGTCTTAATGCTAAAATTACATGCATAAACTAAGATCAGAATCTTTTAGTTTCCCCTTTTCTTTGAATAGGCCATACCTTATTAATTTGCTATAACTACATTAATGTTTTACATATCACTTTTGTATGAGAATTCAAATTAGACAATCATGGTTTTAGAAACAAAATTGACCATTTTTCATGATAGATGGCTTGTTTTGCTGCAAGTAGTAGTTTTCTATCTTAAATGCATGTTCCAATTCACATGCTGTCGACAGATTCTAAAAGAAAAAATAAATACATTATTGATCACTATATATCCTTTTACGGCTGATATTTCTCTCATATATTCTGAGCGGTTTAAATTTGATACCCATTATGAGAACATCAACTAATCATGTATTTACTTGCGATTTAATGTCAACAGTTAATAGGGATATTATACCTTATCAGTACAAGGTACAACTTTTTCCCCTTCTGTTGATTAGCCCATGCCTCCATTGCATCTGTAGAGCTAATCCTGGGCAAACGACCTCTGTGGCTATCACCATGAACAGAAACATCACTGATGGTATCTCCTCTTTCCCCCTCCGACAAGTCTTCTGACATATCAGCCACAGCTTCTTTGCGACCCCGTTCACGCTCAAGGCGGCGTTTGGTCATTCTTTGAGCTTCCTCACCCTCAAGCTAACAAACAAAAATAAGAACATCAACAAAGGTGTACTGCAATAGCATACGCCCTACATATTAATTGGTGGATGATGATTTCTAAGCACTTATAATACAATATCCATGTATGATAATTACATCAACCTACAAGCATATTAAATCCCTAAAGACACCACCTTTTCTCAAAATTTTGAACAAAGTACACAACAATTCGATACAGCCATGAAGGAACTCAAATGTAAGCAAATGAAACACATCTGAACACAGTTGTAAACATATTAGTCATCCTAATCTACATTGAACCTTACAATCCACCATAAAGCAGAGCCATTTCCTAAGAAGATGTCATACATAAAAATGCATTTTAACATCATAAATCACATATTCTTCATATATTCTTCATGAAACCTACCAATTTCATAGAAAGGCTAATAAATTTAGGTTTCAAATTAAGCTCCTTTTTTTCCAGTTAAAGTAAAAAAGTTGATCAATCCAAACAGATATTATTCTATATGAATTTTTCTCAATATCATAAAGCAAAATCGGTTCATGGATTGTTTATATGTTCAGTAAATATTTCTTTTAACCAATTACCAACTACATCAGTCATCAAATCTTCATTCAAATTATGCTTCTTCTTCTCGCCAATTCTCAGGTAAAACCACCAACTTAATCTACATCTGTTTTTATAGAAATCTATAATTAAGAACAGAAAGAATATAAACTTTAAAAATAAAAACCTGCTTTTTCTGGCGAGCCAAATTCCAAATCCTCCAACACATATTCTCAAGTCTAGTGTTCCTCTCTTGAGGACTCCTCGTTGCTTGTGCCTGTATATACACAACATGATCATCAATTTCATTTTCATCAAAAAAGAAGAAGAAAATCAGAGCAATACACAGATGCAGTATAAAAATACACACCCCGTGATTTGATTCATTTGATCCATCAACATATATAGATACAAAACAAGTACTTACATATATATATTCATAAATTAACTGACAACACTTGCCTTAACCCAAGAGCGATGAAGATCAGTTTCATCAAAACCGATAACGTTATCGACGAAGTAGCGAGTGGGACTGAAACGGCCCCTCTCACGGAGGAGCAGCGACGACTTAGCATCGTCAAGTCCAGGTCCTACATCCAGAATTGCCTCTAAGTAACTGTTAATCCAGTCGTTTCCCGCCATTGCTCCGTTTGTTTGTGTGAGAATTGTTGCAGAGAGTAGAGATTTATGGGTGACAACGTGATGAGATTGAAGATGAAAGAGAAAGGGACAGACGATCTGGTAACACGCGGAGGAGAGAGACAAAGGGACCTGAGATATAGGCCTCTCTATTCTATTTATATCTGCTACTGTTAAATTGTACCAAATTATTCCATTTTTAAATAATTCTCCCTATTTTTATTTTTATTTATTATAATTTTATTTTAATTTATCACAAAATAAAAAAAATACTAAAAATGATGATTGCCCTAAGCATGAAAAAAATTAACTCCAATCATATAAAAAAACTAAATTTTTTTCTTAATAATAAAATAATATGTGTATTTAATATTGTACTATTTTATTAAGAGAATTATAATTATTTTTATATTAATAAATAATTATTGTACTATTTTATTAAGAGAATTATAATTATTTTTATATTAATAAATAATTATAAAAAAATTTATTAAACGAAACATCGTTTAAATTAAAATAATAATTTTTAATTAAAATAATAATTTTTAATTAAAAATATCATGTTAAAAATAAATTAAATTACACTAGTTTTTTTTGAGTTAAGATAGTCGTCCCACAAATGTTTAATTAATAGATTTTGAAGTTCATTGTAAGCATCCAAAAGCAAACTAAGGTGCAGTTTACTAAATACTTACTTGGTAAGTGTTCAACGCATAAAATTTTTCATCGGATGAACATGAGAAAAACCAAATATCTTACCTGGTAAGAGCGATGAGAAAAATTGAGAGTATTGTCCGGTAAGTGAGGATGACGATTCTTACCCAGGTAAGTGCTTACCCAATAAATTGTTGCATTCGATATGTTTTGATGTACTAAAATCTTACGCATCAAAATAAATTATAGTGTTGACTTCTATTGATAAACGCTTACCGGATAAACATTTGGGTAAACGGCCCTTAAGTTTCATTTGTTAGATATAAAATTATTTCATATTTTAGTTTTTATTAATTTTCATTTTTAATAAACTAAACTAATTATTTAAATATAATATACAATTAATACAAAATATTAATTAACGTAATAAACTATTAATCTATATATATAGAGAGAGAGAGAGAGAGTTTTATAAAAATTAAATAAAATATTAATATTTGACTATAAAGACCTACTTTATTAACCTCCATATATATAAGCCAACAATTTTTAAGTGTTTTAGTGTTGGGTTGAAGCAGGGGCGGATCCCTATAGGGGCCTTTGGGGGCCATGGCCCCCCCGTTTTTATACATAAATACTATCACTAAGGCATTAAAACATATACATTAAGTAGCTTAGTTGGCAATGTTGCTCAACCTGCATACTTGAGGTTGCTGTTTCAAATCTCACCCCAATCAATTTTTTTGAACTTTATATAAATTATTAATATTTATATTAGTTTTTATATAATATATTAATTATATGTAAATATAAGTTTTTTAAAGTAAATTACACCGGTATTACTATTTCTCGGTTAATACTTTGAATATTTAAGTTTTTAGAGTAAATAATATAATATATTAATTATATGTAAATAATGTTTAAATTGGTATTACTATTTTTCTGTTAATACTTTGAATGTTTCGAGTTTTAATATTACATTAATCAAGACCTGTGACCAGCGACGACCAGCGTCGACCAAGACCGGCGGTTAACCTGCACGACGGGTTGATTGCGGTGGCCATCGGTGTTGCAGCGCAGCTTTCGATTGAGAAGGGTAGATCTGTTAGCATTAAGAAAGTGACGACCAGCGACGACCAAGACCTGTGACCCAGCGACAACCAAATGGCCGGAAACTCAATAGCYGGAAACTCAATAGCAGGATCTTCAACGGAAATGTACCAAAGGCCATCGCCAGCTGCTGTAGCCGACATAGTTACTGCTCTCACAAATCCAAACTTTGCTGCTGCTCTAGCGACGGCTTTTTCTTCCTTCCTTGGTGGCGACGAAAGCAGCAAAGTCAGATCTGAACCCATCAAAGACACAGAACCCACGACAAAGAAAGGCGAGGAGAAAGTGGAGAAACAAGTTAAGGTAGCTCGGAGGTCGGAGGTGAGGCGTCTGGAGGAACCGATTGAGGCTGTGT